AACTTGTTATTTTGTTTTGTTTTGTTTTTTTGTTTTTTTGTAAAGGTTTGAGATGGTAAATTCAATGTAGTGTATACCTTAACTTTTAATATGATGAAGTTGTTTATATTTTAAAGGGATCATTGAAAGCTAAAAATAATATAGTTACATAGTGATACATAGATGTTTGTGTGTTTAAGCTCATTCACACATATAAGAGCATATTAAAGTCAACGAACAAAAGAAACTTAAGTATAATAAAGATGATGAACCTGGTAGCTTAAAATCCCTTGGAATATTCCATCTTGTTATAAACAAGAGGTATTGGAAGATTATTTTAGAGCTTGTGTAGTCTGCCCAGAGAGCATGGATTCTTTTTTTTTTTTTTTGAGACGGAGTTTCACTCGTTACCCAGGCTGGAGTGCAATGGCGCGATCTCCGCTCACCACAACCTCCGCCTCCTGGGTACAGGCGATTCTCCTGCCTCAGCCTCCTGAGTAGCTGGAATTACAGGCACGCGCCACCATGCTCAGCTAATGTTTTGTATTTTTAGTAGAGACGGGGTTTCACCATGTTGACCAGGATGGTCTCGATCTCTTGACCTCGTGATCCACCCGCCTCGGCCTCCCAAAGTGCTGGGATTACAGGCGTGAGCCACCACACCCGGCCTGAGCATGGATTCTTACTTACTCTGAGCTCTTGAGCCCTAATTAACTTTTTGTTAAATCAAATAACCAAAATTTGCCACATCTAAAATCCCTTAATAATTATACTGTGATGTGCTGTGAGGTTTATTTAAAAATCAAAACAAAACTATTTGCACTCTGGCTCTTAAGGCAGCCAGTTACAGCTATTCCATAGTCTCTGTTTAGCAACATAAATCTATAGAGGTGTTTTTGCATTCCGAGTCATCTTTGGTACTTCTTATGTGACCAAAGCACCCATGGTCTGTTCCTTGGCTTGATTTCATCACATGGCAATGAGCAGCAGCAGGATTGCTAGAGGAAATGAAGTATATTGGGTATGCTTCACATTTCTTAATTAGCTGAACCCTGTTTAGGACCTGCCCTGAGGAGATGTGAGGAAAAACTATCAAATCCAAAAGAGAAACTCAAACTTTTCTGGGGTGAATTTATTAATAAAAATATATTTAATCAGAGACTGCACACTTGCTAGGACAGATAGAAAAACCCTGAGGGTTTGTCAGTGCTCTTGCTATAATAAGTAACCAAATTCTTATAAAAAAATTATGGTTTACACCCCAATAGCAGTATCTACTTTCTTAATCTGGCATTTTTAGTTATTGGAATAAATTGACTAGAGTCATTCAGTTTTGTCATTACTAGGGAATTTCTAGTCTTCCTCTTTTTGCCTGGAGGCTTCTAATACCCCAAACTGGAAACTGTGCCTTGTGAAGACCTCACAGGGCACACTCAGAGTTGTAGGGTGGCTGGACCATGCCAAGGATCGACTCATTGGAATGGGCTTCCCGGTGTGGGCCGACATTGCCACAGCAAGGTGGCCTCTGCAAGGTCACGTCTGGGGCTGACCCCAGGCTCCCAGAACCTGGTCAGTCTAGCGGTGGATGCCCTATGTGAAAGCAGACGCTGACCAGCATCAGGCAGAACAGAAGTAGTGGAATGTGGCTGGGTCACAACATCAGTGAGGGGAATTTAACGTGGTCAAAGTTCTATTTTCTGATGGGCATGTAAGCAAGCCCTTTTTCTTTCTTCTTGATGTGTTTCCAGTTCTCTCTTCAGGAAGCTATACTAATGCAAGGTGGAATGAAACTTTTTGAATGCTATCTTTGTCCAATTGATAACTCCAGAAATCAGGGAAAAATGTCTTATGGCGGATCTTAGTTTAGATTATAAACTAAGTGAAGATTCAAAGGAATGTAAGGATGATAATTTTAGTACTTGAAATTCGGATAAATGTTTTCACAATAGGTTAAGCTTAGAAAAATGTATGGAATGAAATTTAACTTATTCTAATCATTGTACATTCATATACAATCAAACTAATTTTACAGATAATATAAAAGCTATTAATTGCTCTTGTCCGCAAATCTATTCAAGGCAGTGGGGTAGATTCTATTACAACGACTTATTGAGATCCTTCATCTTTCATGGTGATGGGCCTATTATTCACATTCAGTAAGAACCAGGCCTTCTTTTTCCAGGATATAATGAATAGCTTGGTAATGCAACCAGAGCACAGGTGTGCCTCATTTAAGAATAAGTTTAATTTAATCCTGTCTGACACGACTACTCCTTAGGGATGATGGTTGCTGTTCAAATGTGTCTCCTCAGGAAACTGGACTGATACCTGCTTTACAGATCATAGGCCCCCTTCCAGCCTTACAGGTAGTAATGAAGGTCGCTTCCTGGCAGACCAGGAGCCTTGGTAGGTTTGGGAGACCTCAAGAAACAAAAGCAAATCTCTTACTAGAAGAACTGCAGTAACATTTCTCCCCAGAAGTACTGCAGGCAGCACCTGGTGGAGACATATTTCTTGGGTTTGCTTTCTTGGCCTTGGAATAGATGAGCTAGTAAGAGCAGTGGAATAAAATTTTAAAAACCTCTCTAATTCTTGAGATGAATCAAGGTTCCTTCCATCATCTTCTGATGGAAGTTGATTCTCTGGTTTCAGCAGTTTCTCAGTATGATCTGTCTCTAGATTTGCTGACACACAACCAGAAACCTTATGTGTGTTTATTAATAGCTCTTGCCACTACCTACATAGCGGGTTCAAGGCAAACAGCAGCACATACACAACATAAAGGTTCAAGTTCAGAGACAACATCAAGTCTGAGGAATGAGAAGGAACTACTGTGTCAGTCAGGAGAAAGCATATTCCTGTTGGAGAGAGAACGACTTGTACAAAAACCCTCAGATGAGAAAGAGCTTGATGTTCTCTGGAGTTTAACCAGGATCCTTGGCATATAGAAAGTGAGCAGAAAGTGGAGAGAATGAGAGGTGAGAGACAGCTAAGGGAACCATAACAGGCAACTGTATGTTATTCTAAGTACATTTGGAAATCTCAGTATTTTAAATCTGTGGAATGAGATGATTGTTTGATGAATGTGTCGAAAAGATTACCTTGCTCCCATGTAAAGATGGGTTGGAAGGCACCAGTGTTGAAGGAGGAAGGCTCTGAGGAGCTGTTGGTGAGAGATGAGGAGAGCTTGATCCAGGGGCTGGCGACAGGAAGGAGAGACATGCACTTGGGCACGTGGTTCAGGGACAGCCAAGGACGCTGGTGTTGAGGGAAGGGGAGGAATCAGGATGATTTATAGATTTGTGATGTGATTGTAATGGATGTACCCTAGCTACATTTACCCAGATGACAGCTCATCTTTGTGAAGGAAGTGAGGGAGGGTGGTACAGGGAAGGGAATCTATGGTTTTCACAAATGTTTCTGGAAAATGTATTATATGGCAAGCACTGTGGGAGGTGTTCAAGGAGTATTGGTTAAAATAGGTTAGTGGAGGTTCCCATTAGCTTCCCGGTGACCAAGGAAGGAGACCAAGAAATAGTTCTGAGTTCTGTGGAGAGTGGTATGAAAGTGTAGAATAGAAAGAGGGAGGAACCAGGAGACTGAAAGGGAGCCCATTCCAAGGTCCTATTTTTGGAGACACAGAGGACTCAAACCACACTGTCTTCACTTCCCCATGTCTCCCGGGGCCCTGGTGTCAGCCTCTGTTCCTCCCACAGGCCCTGTCCGCCACTGATGCCTGTTCATTCCCTGGCAGCATCAAGTAGGAACCCTCTTAGTGGAAACACCTCTCGTCACTCCTCTCTCCTTCAGCCTCTACCCACTTTCTAGAGTTGCACTGACCAAGGAAGTAGCCTCTACTCATGTGTGCCTATTTAAATATGCATTTAAGGCCGGGTGCAGTGCCTCAAGGCTGTAATCCCAGCACTCTGGGAGGCCAAGGCGGGCAGATCACCTGAGGTCAGGTGTTCGAGACAAGCCTGGCCAACGTGGTGAAACCCCGTCTCTTCTAAAAATACAAAAATTAGCTGGGTGTGGTGGCTGGGGCCTGTAGTCCCAGCTACTTAGGAGGCTGAGGCAGGAGAATTGCTTGAACCCAGGAGATGGAGGTTGCAGTGAGCTGAGATCATGCCACTGCACTCCAGCGTGGGCGACAGAGAGAAACTCTGTCTCAATCAATCAATCAATAAATAGATAGATATGCACTTAAATGGGCTACATGATATAAAGTTAAAAGTTGAATGCCTCAGTCCCATTAACCACATTTCCAGTACTCAGTAGCCACAGATGACTAGAAGCTATCATAGCGGGAGACACAATTGAAGAGCATTTCCACCATCAGAGACAGCTCTGCTGGGCTGCAGTGCGTAAACCACTCCAGGCCTCAGGAAAGACACTCCTGAGTCATGAACTCACTCATTCTCTTTCCGTAATTTTTACCTTCTCTCACACTTCTTCCTTCTGTAACCATGGGCCACCATTTACCAGTTGCCTGACCCTGGGGAGTTCACTGAAATACTCTGGGCCTCAGTTTCCTTATTTGTAAAATAAGAATGAAAACAGCATCGTGGCTTCAAGTGCCCAATAACGGGTGGTGACTGTGATTCCACCCGCCCTTACTTCTTTTATTAGAATGCCCAGTTCTGCGTGCACATAAACCACCACTCTCAAAATAGCCCCAATCTTTGCACGAGCTACCTTTGCTCTCATAGCCAAATTAAATCTCTCTCGTATAATTGCTGTGACTCTCGGTTTGTATTTAGATGGGAAGATTTCTGAACAGCTAATAATCTTGGGATCAAACCGAAGAGGGTAGAGGGAAGGAAATTTCTCTGATAATTTGGAATAAAACAAGATCAGGAAAAGCACAGCAAGTAAACCCAGCAAAGATTGAGACCCCACATCTTTCAATGGAAAATCTCCAAATGGTATATTTATAGGCAAATACATAAACAGGTGTTTATATGAATGCATAGAATTTTTGTACTCACCAACAAAAGAAAATGATAAAGAAAGAGGTTTACCCAGAAATGAGCGAGGGTGTTTACAAGAAAGGATTTTTCCACCATGTGATCTGGAATATCGAGGAAGGGCTTTCCCGTGACGACGCCGGCATTGTTAATGAGGATGGTCACGTCACCAACTTCTTTCCTGACCTGGCCAGAGGAAGGCAAGCATTAATTCAATTGAGGTGTTGCATTTTGATATTTATTTTCCCAAGTAGTGATTTCTTTTTCTCATTTTCTTCATATAGTTTATCTAAAACTAGATGTTTTTATCTTCTATGTAGAAATTGGGCAGTTTTAAGGTAACTTAATGACAAATTATCTTAAAAAAAAAAAAAACAGATTTAGCCATTTTGTTGAAAGAGCCTTGATTTTTTGTGTGGAGATGGCCTGCAGCATACCGTAGCATATCTTCCTCACCTCCCATTTCTGTTATGTGAATGCCCGTTCCTGGGTCACTAATGGCAGTGGAGTCTGAGTGACGCTGCCTCCCTGAATGTCTCAGAACTGCTCCCTGCAGATGGCCTTCAGTCTGTCCCACAGCACATCAGTGGGTGTCTGATGCCTACTTCTGTGGGCGTCACGTTCCCTACTCCTCTATCTTATTCCCTCAGGCCTGATCAGTTTTCGGCATGAACGCATCCTAAACATGGATGCCTTTGACCAGCTGCCGATGGACTTCCATGTTTCTGTGCTCTTCTATCCAATGGACCCTGTTGAATCGAATGACTCTCTGTGACTGATGCTGCCTTGAATCCCTCAGCTGTGCCGCTATTGTGCCTCTTACGTCCTCCTTTTCCTTCAGCCTCCCCTCCTGAGTTGCCCACCTCGTCTACCTGGACAATCCGCAATACACCACAAGCCCTGTTCAGAGAAGAGCATGCTTCAGGAAACACCTGAGGGACTGGTTTCCTGTCTTTCACCATTTTGACTCATGTTATTATGACTTTGTAGGTGACACTGAGAAGCTGACCCAACGGCAAAGCATAAAGTATGTTTGAACAACAATTAAGACTTTCCTCCCCTGAACTGGACCTCTCGGCTGATACAACCATCTTTGTTTCTAAACAAGGAGCACTGCCTCCCCTGACTTGGTTTTCTTTTCTTTCTTTTTTTTTTTTTTAATTGCATTTTAGGTTTTGGGGTACATGTGAACATGCAAGATTGTTGCATAGGTACACACATGGCAGTGTGGTTTGCTGCCTTCCGTCCCCTCGCCTTTATCTGTCATTTCTCCCCATGCTATCTCTTCCCACCTCCCCACCCCCCATCCCTCCCCCATTTCCCCCCAACGGACCCCAGTGTGTAGTGCTCCCCTCCCTGTGTCCATGTGTTCTCATTGATCAACACCCGCCTATGAGTGAGAACATGCGGTGTTTGATTTTCTGCTCTCGTGTCAGTTTGCTGAGAATGATGGTTTCCTGACTTGGTTTTCTAATTCCTGGACCATACATTGCTATATATTGAGCCTGCCAGATAACATAATTTGGAGAATTAGATATTGCTGCCGATGTAGTAGATTGGAACAAGCTAGGAAAGGAATAGTTAATACTGCTGAGCTGATGCGAGGCTGAGGAATCGGACTCCTCTACCAGGGAGGAAGGCAGGGCAGAGGAAAACATTCACAAAGGTTAACTTTTAAAGAAGGGTATCCCATCGGCTTGATGAAGCAATCAGTGTGAGCAAGTGCTCATCAAGACTGATGAAGTGGGGACAGGGACCCAAGAAGGAGGTGGACTCTTGGGCTTAATATGTTCCTGAACACTTAAGAAAAGCCCAGTGGCTGCTGTCATCCAGTTTAAGAAGCCCTGAGCCTTAGGAACAATAGAGCCAAGAGAAATTTTATCTCAATCATAAGATTTAATTTTCGCTGTAACTTCAAGAGGCAGTCTAGGGAGGCATCGTTATCTCAGTATACAGATGAGGAGACAGACGCTCTGAGAAATTAAGATCATGCTGAAAGACCCATAGCTTTTGAGAGGAGCAACAGTGATTCACACCCAATTTAAATTCACACAAAAAAGCCGTTTTCCCCCAAATTTACTACTCTTTCTAGCCAACATAATTATTGCTGTAGCAAGCAAGTCTCGTGTGTGTGTACATGCATACACACACACAATACAAATAAATATTAATGATTGATTGAACCTGGACATTTGAAAATAAATTGTGAACCTACTTACTTTAAGAAAAGCAATTTATTAGCATATTGGTTTTTTATGTTGGAGATGAGACTGTTCCCTCAATCTAATTTTGGGAAGTTAATTACTATGCACCTTTAGAATGTTTTTACTGCTATTCAACTTGCCTGCACATTTCAAGGAATCTGGTAATGCGTATGCTTTGTTGAAAGCCTTGAAGTACAAAGCCAGTATTTGGGTTTCTCGGGAGTTGCTACATAAATGAAATTATACAAAAAAGCATGCAAAGTAGTTGGCTGAGAAAAATTCTATTTATTGGAGTGCAGAAAAGAACATTTAAATGTGAGAAAATAATTTTAGCTTAAAGTTTTTAGCCTAGTTTTCTACTTCATAGCAAGAAAATGTTGACCAAGAAGAAAAGATTTGTTAGGGGTTGCCAGTGGGGGAAGAGGGCAGGAGATTACAATACTTGATCAAAGAAAGTGGATTACGAAGGGGTCTTTCGATTATGCACATATTGTTGCTGTCCCTTTGGGAATGCAGCATGGGATCTGACCCAGGTAATGGGGTCCCTCACTTGTCTGCTCTATGACCTGGGTAAGTTCCTTAAACTCTCTCTGCCTCTGCTTCGTCACTAGTAAAATGGAGAAAATAATAGTACTATTTTGTTGTAAAGCTTATATGGGATAATACTTCAGCAGAAAAGACTTTTTCCAGGGTCCTGATCTGGCTAGTTAGTGGTACTGGGACTGGAGCTCTGTTAGACTACTTCCCGAGCTTAGCCCAGATATATTCATAGCATGGTGGCTTCAACTTGCATGAACCTGGGAGATGGAGGTTGCAGTGAGCTGAGATGGTGCCACTGCACTCCAGCCTGGGCAACAGAGCCAGACTGTGAGTCAAAAAAAAAAAAAAAAAAAAAAGATAATTTGGTTCAACCCTTTTGTTTTACAGATGAAGAAACAAGGACCTAGAGAGGGACAGTAACTTGTTAAAGGCTGCACAAGCAATGAGCCGCAAAGCCAGGAGGAGGCCCTGTTTCCACCTCCTCCTGCTGGTGAATGAGTCTCCCTAACACGCAGCTGGGCAGCGCTTGCTTAGGCTTCTCACATTCCCACTTGCCTTGTTTGCACTGTGCTCACTTTTGGAGGTTGCACAGTCTGATTTCTGACACGCAGAGTCAAGCAGGAAACACATAGAGATCTTGGGGGAAGTTTATGACAAAATTCTACTGTAAAAGTGCATACGAGATGCAATATTTTCCTCGGGAACAGAAGCAGAGAACACCAGTCAGCTTACCTGGTCAGCGACGCTGTAGACCTCTTGTCTGTTGCTACAGTCACACTTATAAGGGAACACTTTCTCACCACCCTTTTCTTTGGCCAGTCTCCACGTCTCCACATTGTTTTCTTGATTAATGTCCCATAGAACTAAAATGGCTCCAAGCCCGGCAAAATGTATGGCCAATTGCCTTCCAAGTCCACTTCCAGCTCCTGTTATAAGTACAATCTCTCCAGCAACATTCTTTTTTGTCTTGGGAATTATCTTGTAAACCAAAGATTCCAGAAAGTAATATAGAAATTTTCCCAAAAATATGGAGGTATCTGCAATCACATCCATGTTGATGGACTGCAGAAAGGAATGTCCCAACAGGGAAAAAGGTAGCTGATGAATTCATTATACTATAGCAACCATTACAGTACACATAGAGCATTTTGGACAAGGAAATATGCCTTTGAGACGTTCATTCTTCAAAACATACGAATTAACAACAATTGACACAATTGTCAAATTTAAAATTTATATAAATAATGATTATGGAAATATTTTGTTACCAAGTATCTTTCCCATTTACAGGGTACTTTTTTACACTAATCTAATTTAGCCTATAGGTAGGTCACAGATTACTAGGGCAGTTTTACAGTTAAAGACATAGAATGTTTGAGCCTTGACTTGCCCAGCATTATTTGACTAGTAAACTAAGACTTTGGAGGTATATCGAGTGCTCTCAGGGTTGTTGAACAGGAATTGGTGCCACTACAATCCCACAAAGGACTTGAACCCGGGTTGGGTGACAGGGAGTCTGGTTTTCAGTGGGATAGTGAAGAAAAGAAGAAAAATGGGCAGGGAGGATTGCATTTGAGTTTTAGCTAGAAGGCTGCCTCCAAGAGAGAGCAAGGAGAAAGGGCATTACAGATGCCCCTTGTTAATTTACTGAGAAGATTAACTATATTCTGAAAAGTATTATCCTCAGAAAATTTCAGGCACCTAAAGTGTTTACTAAGAGATTTCAAGCTTACAATCATCAAAAAGATTAAGCGATAAAAAATTCACTCTTGTCTGTAAGCTTATACAGACTTCTCTGATTCCAGCCCAATGCTAGAGACATATAGTGTATTACAATGATGAAACAAAGCCATACTTAACACCTATAAAAAAAATACAGGTGTTATGGAGAAGGTATTCTGGGCCACAGGATTTTTGTGCTGAGAACAAGAGAGAATTGAGACTTTCCTCATAACTTTTCTGTACAGGAAAGTTTGTTCTCAAGGTAGACGATTTATGATTTATCTTCAAAGAAATTCAAGTGGCTTGCTATGAAAATCACTAAATTTCAGCAACATATGCTTTGGGACCACTTTGAGGACAAGAGTTCTGAGATTTCTTCAATCCTAAACTAATAGACCACACCCTCAGACCTCTGAAAGCATTCAATTTTGGAATAAAAGAAAAAGGACATCTGAGCCTTGATATGGAGAGTGCCAGCCAGAAAAGACAATTGCTCCCAGGTAGGTCTTGGGGGCAGTTGTGACAACCAGGCATTTAGAAGAAAAGAAACATGAAGCATTCCCATGAGCAAACGCTTATCAAGTACTAAATGGCACTGTGTCCTTATTTCGTTCTCGGAATAGTCCTGTGGTTTAAGCATGAGGCTTGGATGGATGGGGTTATAACTCGCTGAGGGTTGCACTATTTGTAAGTAGAAGTGGATTTGAGTGCAGATTCTATGATTCCAGAACTCCTACTCTCTCCAAATGACTTCAGTTAACTGGGACTTGAATCACAAGGACCTTCTTGCATTTTTCAGGCATGTACTGAATGCTTCAGGCTGAAGAACAGGCCATGAGAATGGAGGAAGTATTATTATTGCCATGTTCACTCATGTTGTGCAGGGTGGAATGAGTAGGATTCACTCTGGAGAAGTGGATTCAACTGCTGGCCCTGCCACAGACTAGTTGAGTACTTTGGGCAAGATTTTCTTTCTTGAGCCTCTCTGTATTTGTCTGTGAAGTGGGCATAATATTTAACTCCCAGGAATGTTATACATGTTGAAATATCAAATGTAACAAAGTATTTTATAAATTGTAAAATGCCACACAAATATGAGCTTCTGTCACATGCACAGGATCCTCTTTGATGATGGAACTGAGTTTGCAGCCAGCCAGCCATAAAGATGGCCAACACTCAGGTATGGGAGCTTTTCTCTACTGTTTAGGGCTGTGCTTCAGTTATGAAATTGCTGAGGAGGGCATGGGAGACAGCTTTGCTGGTAGGTGTAGGACCTCAGTAAGGCTAGGACAGGAATTCAGGCGCATGTGTGTGGCACACACAAGCATGTTCCCTCCACTCTCTCTCGGCTTTCTCTCGTGTCCTTTAACTACCTCTTCCCCTCAACTTGCCAAAAGCCACGGTAGCGAACAAGAACAATTAGAAAAGAAGACCAAAGCAACATTAGAGATGATCATAGAATTACTTCACACCCCTATTTAGAAATTGCACTAAACTGTGCTCAGAGAAACTCGTTTTCAATTGGCAGACACTTAGAATGTTCTCCCAAGTGGCTAAATAAGCTAATCTTACCTGCAGAAATAAGAAATAATCTTACCTCGGGTAGTATGGGCGTCCTAATGGGGGCTGAAGCAAACAGCACGCACGTCAGCAGACAGAAGCTCACTCTTAAATAACTTCAGGGTTACTTGTTCTCCCACACCTTCTGAGATCTGTCTGGGTGACATAAAGAAGTGTCAACCATGAGAATTTCTCTGGGCTTCACCTATGCTGGCATTGGTGCAATACATGGCACGCAGCCTGCGTTTTCAACTCCCAAAGTGGACTGGAGCAGAGGTGTGTCCTGTGAAGTAACTTATAGGCATAACACTGCCATTATGCCAGGCTTCATATGGTATCCTGAAATCTTTATTTCTACATTGAGAACACAAACACCTCCTTAGTGCTGTTAGGAAAATGTGGAACATAGTTACAGCATCATCTAAACAATATTGTCAGGATACAATATGATCTGCCAATTGTTATTATGAAAATTACCAATACAGAAAACTTTGGGAAATGACACATAAATGTCTTAAGAACCCAAACCTGGAACCAAACAGTCAAGCCAAATATTTTATCATATTTGCTTTCTTTTTTTTGAGATGGAGTCTCGCCCTGTCGCCCAGGCTGGAGTGCAGTGGTACAATCTCGGCTCACTGTAATCTCTGCCTCCTGGATTCAAGTGATTCTCCTGTCTCAGCCTTCCAAGTAGCTAGGACTACAGACACATGTTACCACACCTGGCTAATTTTTGTATTTTTAGTAGAGATGAGGTTTTACCATGTTGGCCAGGCTGTCTTGAACTCCTGACCTTGGGAAATGCGCCCGCTTTGGCCTCTCAAAGTGAGGCAATTACAGGCATAAGCCACCATGCCTGGATGCCGTATTTTCTTTCTATATCCTCCTCTCTATTTCTGGCTGAACCATTTAAAAATAAGTGCAAATATCATGATATTATACTGCAAATACTCAGCCCTCATCTCCTAGGAAGGAGTTATTCTATATAACCCCAACAAAATGATCAGACCTGATAAGATTAACAATAATTCCATAGTATCATCTAATCCATATTCAAATTTCCCCGTTAGTCCCAAAGATCCAATTAAGGGTTATGAATTGTATTTGGTTGAGATATCTCGTCAATATCATTTTGTCTGGAACAGCACTGCTTCATCTTTCTAAAAAAATGGTTGATTTATCTATTTACTGACTTTCTGAGGAGTTCAAGCCAAATGTCGGGTAGAATGTCCCACATTCTCTGTTTGTCCTTCTTTTCTCATGGTGTCATTTAACTGGACTTCTGTTTCCTGTATCTTCTTCACACTTCAAGTTAGAGTTAGAAAGTTGATTATACTCAGATGAAATATCTTCATCAAGAAAACGTCATACATGATATGGAGCACTCTATTGCAACACATTATAATGTCTAACGTCAGGCTGTTCCATCATTCATAACGGTAAATTCAGTCACTAGGGGAAGGCGGTGACCACAAGCTTTCTCCACTGTGCAGGCACGTTTCCCACTCTGTAATCGCTACAAGTCTGCGGAATGGCATTTGGGCACCGTGTGACTCTTGCTCCCTATAATCTTTCACCTAATGGTTCTTTAAACTATAGGCTTTATTTTTTAGAGCAGTTGTAGGTTCACAGGAAATTGAAAGCACAGAGTTCTCATATACTCCCCACCTGCCCAGTCCTCCCAACATCAACACCCCCCACCAGAAGGGTCCATTTGTTACAATTGATGAACCTATGTCGACACATTATTATCCCTCAAAGTCCATAGTTTACATTAGGGCTCACTCTCGGTATTGTATGTTCTATGGGTTTTGACAAGTGTATAATGACATGTGTCCATGATTACGGTATCATACGGAGTAGTTTTATTGCCCTAAAAATACCCTGTGCTCTGCCTACTTCTCCCCACTTCCTCCTAAAACTGGGGAACCACAGACCTTTTTACTGTCTCCATAGTTTTACCTTTCCTAGAATGTCATACAGTTGGAATCATACAGTACGTAGCCTTTTCAGATTAGTTTCTTTCACTTAGTAATATGCATGTAAAGTTCCTCTGTGTCGGAAGGGGAGCATCACACACTGAGGTCAGTTGGGGGTGTCTAGGGGTGAGATAGTGGAGGGCAGGGAGTGATAACATGGGGAGAAATGCCAAATATAGATGATGGGGGGATGGAGGCGGCAAACCACCTTGCCATGTATGTGCCTATGCAACAACCCTGCATGATCTGCACATGTACCCCAGAACACAAAGTACAATTAAAAAAAGGAGATTCCTCTGTGTCTTTTCATGGCTTGGCAGCTTATTTATTGCCTTTCTTTCTTTCTTTCTTCGTTTTTTTTTTTTTTTTGAGACAGAGTCCTGCCCTGTCACCAGGCTGGAGTGCAGTGGCAGATCTCGGCTCACTGTGGCCTCCGCCTCTCAGCTTCAAGCGATTCTTCTGTCTCAGCCTTCCAAGAAGCTGGTGTTACAGGCCCGTACCACCACCCCCGGCTAATCTTTGTAATTTTTGTAGGATGGGGTTTCACCATATTGGCCAGGCTGGTCTTGAACTCCTGACCTCATGATCTACCTGCCTCTGCCTCCCAAAGTCCTGGGATTACAGGCGTGAGCCTCTGCGCCTGGCCAACGGCTTATATTTCTTTTTAGCCCTAAATAAGATGACATTATTTGGATGTACCACAGTTTCTTTATCCATTTACCTACTTAAAGACATCTTTATTGCTTCTGAGTATTAACAATTACAAATAAAGCTTCTACAAACATCGATGTGCAGGTTTTTGTGTGAACACAACTCTTCGACTCCTTTGGATAAATACCAAGGAGCGCAATTGCTGGATCACATGGTAAAAGTATGTTTAGTGCTGTAAGAAGCTTCCAAACTATCTTCCAAAGAGGCTATAACCATTGCTTTCCTCCAGCAATGAATAGGAGTCCCTGTTGCTCTGCATTCCATCAGCATTTGGTATTACCAGTGCTTTGAATTTTAGCCGTTCTAATAAATGTGCAATGCAACTCTTGATTTTAGCATCTGTTAATGACCCTTGCCTAAATCAGTGATTACGCTTGGGCGTGCAAAATGCTGATTTTCTAGCTTAGCATTCTTTCTACATTTATTAACTGGCCTTCCTCTCTAACAGGTATTATTTTGCTGTATTTTTTTAAAGTCTTTCTTGCAATGGAGGATTCTAAAGAAAAGAATGACTCTCTTGGCCATGAGGATTTATCATGCCTTGTGCCCTCAGGGAATCACAGAAAGCTGCCTAGTAACTGACTGTTGCTCCATCATTTTTGTATGCCTCATAAAACCTAGCCAATGTCTTGCATATGCCAAGCACTCAGTAATTATTTGTTGAATTTAATTTAATTTAAGAATGAGTCTCAAATGCCATTATGGATGTGGCCAGTGAACTCTCAGTGTATTTATAAATTCCTGGAAAATGAAAATGATATGAATCAAATATATTATGGCAGAAGAGAAATATTTTGAAGTATAATACTCTGAGCTTCTATAGTTATTGTATTTCAAAATACTTTTAAGATTATGTATCATCCCATAATTACTGCTTCATATGTCTCTCTCCTTTACTAGACTATGAATTTCTCGAGGGGAAGGTCTGGACAAATTAACTTTGTATTTCTAGTACCCAATGAGGAGTATAACTCACAATCAGTTCTTCATAAATATTTGCTGAATCCATGAAATAAAGTTGTAAGATTGGTTCACTGTTGGACTATTTCTTTTTCCTTCTGTCATTCTAGTATGTCTCTTTAAGCCTGTGGCTTACTTTCTTAGGTTCACCATGTGGCTGCTAGTATCCAGCAACCATATTTAAGTTCCAAACAGGAAGAAGGGGAAGGCAAAAAGCAAAAAAAGCATTTTCCCTGAAGCTTGCTTCTGCTGCTTCTGCTTTTAGCTTCTTGACCACTCACATCTGCAGAGGAAGTTGAGAAATGTCATCTTTTAGCTAGGCATATTGCTCCTCCAGTAACAATTGGCATTCTGTTACTAGATAAGCAGAGGTAGTATTCTGGCCCAATCAGTTTGGGGCAAAATTTCCTATTTTTCTATCTTGAAATCCTTAGTAGAGTTGTCTTGCCTCTAGTTGAATTCATCCTTTTAATTTCTCTTCTGAGGAAATAATACTTTGATACACACATGTATATATACGTGTGTGTATATATATGTATACATACACACAAACATGGACATGTACACAAATGCATATATATGTGCATTTATATTATATATGCACGTAGAAATATATGCTTCTATACATATGCACATAAAAGCATATATGTATGTATTTATATCTACCATCCCTATATACACTCACATATATATACACACATATACATACACATGCGCACACACACACACACACACACACACACCCCTTTTTGTCATAGCTCTCTGGGAATTCTCTGGGATTGATGTTGAGGAGAAGGTTTGAAAGATCAGAACTAACAAGGGCAGGAGTATGGAAACAGACAGGACTCTCTTCTGCAATGTCCAGGGGTGGTTTTGATTAGTACAGTGCTAGGCATGCTTACTCAGGTGTTTTCTTGTTTATTCAGTAATCACTGAATTTATAGTATAAGCATGTATTCCAAACAATCATGTTGTTTTTTCTTGTAATCACTGACATCAAGTGCCAAGTGTCTGCCCTGCAATAGTGGGTGTGACATTTGGGGAGCCCACTGTCCAGCTCCAAAGGAGGCCCGAGCTTAGCAAGGCCTCTGGACAATGCTGATCAGAAGAGCGAGAGGACGAGTGGATGGACTGTCTATGCATCTTTGTCTATCTTCATACCTTTGGCCATGGGAGGTTTGTCCTCAAAACCCTGTTCCTACCAAAAACCTTTGTATTTGCTGCTGACAGTTTAATCACCAATTCCTCATAGCACACCCACATCCCACCCAGCCATGAGGATCACAAGGTGCAGAAACAGCACTTTATTCCTCTAGAGTTGAACTGTCTTAGCTCTCAAGTCTCCATTTCCATTATGGCACTTGATTAATCTTGGTTATTCCCTATGTCTTCTAGGTTAAAGCCTAGTCTTTTCTGGATAGATAGTTAAGTCAAAATCCTACACTCTGCCCCACTCTATTGAGTGGCATTAAGGCACTGCAGGAAGGCATAG